TTAATTGTTTAACTTGGTTAAAAAATCAATATAAGTGTTTGGTTAATTAGCTTTTTGTAACTCCAAAATGCTAAAATTAAAAAAGTTGCTCAAAGCAACTTTTTCAATTAGCTTTTTGAGAAAAGAAATTATACCAAACAGCTATCAGCTAAAAACTAATTTACCAAACACCTTTCTACAATCAGCTAATTTGAGAAAAGATCAAAGCGCTTTGGGCACTTTGGCCGAGCATAGGGTTTCAAGCTCGCTAATCTTCTCTCAGTTGTTGATCATAGGCTTGTAGGTCGAAGGACACGCAAGCTCACTATCTTCTTTTTGATATTTTATTAGGGTTTTGAAATGTTTCGAGGCAGTTTTCATGAGTTTTCAGCTTTTCATAGAGGGGAACATATCCGAAATGCGAAAATGCTCCCCCTAAAAATTTGTGTGCATCATAGGTTATTGGAACACAAGCTCTTAGTTGTCTATCTTATCTATAACTCTATAAGGTAGATAAAATAGTTAGGACAACCAAAAGCCTTGCACTTAACCGTAAAACAAACATATATTTGGCATCTTACACCTATATGCATTTAGAGGTGCAAAATGAATTCTAGATAGAAACAAGTCATATTCTTCAAAATGCCCTTCTCTCTTCCTCAAAGCCCCTTGGAACACATGGTGACCTCCCTATCTCTGGCTATCTTCCACTCTCCTTGCCGCCAGGCGCCAGCAATACCCCCCCCCCCCCCCCCCCCACCACTGCTAGCCAAATTTACCACATGGTAGGGCACTATTTGTGCATAGCCATGATTTCCCAAATGGGGTTAAACCTATAGGAGAGGTGAAGAAATACTTGGCTGATTTGATGCCTTCAAGACTATACACGATAGTAGTCTTCCTTTGGAGTGCGCCTCCCATATAGGTGTTGGGCTGGATCTGCGGGAGACTGGGAGTGTTGCCATGAGAAGATGTTGGCTGGCACTCAATAGTTCTTTGGAACTCTCTAGTTGGCTCTAAGAAGACTGTTCAATTTTGTTGCTTTCAGAAATTTCCAGAATAAAAGCAACAATGAGAAAACACCATGAGAGAATATTTCTTATTCCGGGGTGTCTTATGAATAATATGATTCAAGGGTTTTGGTTTAAGATTGCAATCCTAACTTCTTGCAATTCTTGAAACCTGATTGATTTGAATAATATGCTATATAGGGGTTTTGGTACAAGGACGAGACCCAAAACTATATTTGTAAACCAGTCTTGAATGGGTTCACCCATAAAATCACGATCATGCTTTTCAATAATAATTATGCCTTAAATTAGTCATTGCTTTAGAAGAAGAAAAAAATGCATAAGGCATCAACAATCATGATAACCAATCATTAAAAAAAAAAAAAAAAACACTGGGGCTTCTAGTCAATTGAAGAACTGAGTAGATGAAATAAATTTCTCAATAAGTTAGAACATGTATATATCAATCAAGTTCATAGTCAAATTAACAGTTTTGCCAACTCATTTGTTTGTACTCTTAGATTTGTACAAATATAATGCCTTAGGGTGGGTCTCGTGAGACCATCTCACGGACCCTTATTCGTGAGACGGGTCGGATCAAGATGGAAATGTAATACTTATGCTATAAAATGTAATACTAATCAAAAATAAATTGTTTGTTACTTATAAGGAAAAGTGTAATACTTTTGAGGAAAAATGTAATACTTTTAAATCAAAATGTACTATTTAGGGGTTAAATAGTTACTTATGAGAAAAAATGTGATACTTCTGATGAAAAATGTAATACTTTTAAATCAAAATGTAACATTAGGGGTTGAAGAGTTACTTATGAGGAAAACTGTAGTAGTTATGAAAACCCAACCCGTCTCACAGATCCTCATAGGAGATTTTGCCAATGCTTTAAGATTTATTTATTCTTCTTCTCCTCCTCTTCTTATTCATCAAGAATTTCAAACAACTCCAATCTTGATTCCGACTCATTTATACGGGATAATTTTAATAACAAAATTCGTAACTTTCAAACCTAGAGGAAAAATAGTTACTAGTATAATTCAGAAGTAAACTGGTCCAACCTTGATCCAACACTTTGATGTGAGGGAAAATTTAATAAAAAAAAGTAAGAAATCCATAATTTTCAAACCAAAGGATGAAATAATTGCTAGTATAACTCATAAGCAAATCCTGACAATTCATTGAGTATTAGTTAAAGTAGTTGCACTATAAAGGAATGAACTTATATAATTTTTTAAGAAGATATAGTGATAACTATAAATAAAAACTGACAATTGCTTAATAGAAAAAAACAAAAATTGTCACCTGCACTTCGAAGTTGCTTCCTCCAACTCCTCATGAGATGAGGGGAAAAGCTCAATATAGCGATTCCCTATTTTCATCCTATCCTTAGCCATTGCAGCTCGCGAATCTTCTGCATTTGCAAACTCCACAAATGCTTCTCCAGTTGGCCTCCCCTCCGAATGAGCAGTTATATGAATTGAGTTTTCTGCAAGTACAGAATCTTTGAAGAAATCCACAATATCTTCCTTTTTAGCTGAGAAAGGCAGTCCCCTCAACCGTAATACTCCAGTATGTTCTGCCAAGTCTTTCCCATCTTCAGAGGATCGTGCCCTCGCAGTTGAGCCACCACGAGAATCTGAAAGTTCATTTGCTATAGCCCTATAATATTCTTGCTTCTTGCTTCTGAAAACCTCAACATATCTTCTGCCAATATTCTGCCTATTCCTCTGAAGTGCAAAATCAACTTGAAGAGGGTATCCCAGAACACAATAAGCTTCCCCTGTAAACTTTCCACCCTTGTGGACAAGAAGCACATCAACTACATCCAAACCATGCAAGAACTCCACAATCTCACCCTCTGTGCAGCCAAATGGGAGTCCACGAAGTCGAACAACAGGGAAAGGTGGAGGCTGGCCAATATAAGAAAAATCAGTTGGAGGGGCGGGGGGTGGAGGAAGAGGAGGAGGAGGATTATACATATAAGTAGGCCCTGGAGGAGTTGAGTAATAAGAAGGGCCCTGATCCATTATGCGTTGCCTTTTCAGGCCCATTTCCCGGGCATCACCAGCATCAAAATATCTCCTTCATCACAATTGTAAATAAATAAATAAAAACACTTCTTTTCGCTACATAAACTGGTGAAACCTCATTTCAGATAACAGCATCATTTAAATCTTACAAGTTACAAGTATGATATTGAAGCCTCAAGATGTTCAAAGATTGAACAAACACAAGCTCATCCCCAAACGGAATAGAATAAACAATTGAAACCCAAATTAACTAAGGAAAACAAAAAATCTACTTGATTTTCTTTTCTTTTGGAGGCTTAGAAGGTAGTCAATTTACTCCATAAACCACAATTTCACAATAATGAAAAGCTAGGAAAATTTAAAAATAAAAACATATTCGAGAATTAACATCTGGGCAAACAAACAAGGGCAACTCAAGACTTACAATATCTATCGACTATAAAGCAAAATCAAGAACTATATTTCACTTTGAGAATTATTTACACGAAATGAAAGATCAAACTTTTCATATTAGGAAAAAAAAAACGAAATTGCTGAAATAAAAACCAGACCCAGATTGAAAAATCAATAAATAAGCGAACCTATGAAGGAATTAATTAAAATAAAAAATTTAAAAAAAAAACAAAAAAAAAAAACAAAAAAAAAAAAACAGTAAAATCATGGACAAAAGGGAATGACGAAGAGGGTTCTTAGCAGTTACCCTCTGTTATACATTTTCTCAGCTGCAATTCTTCAATCGATCCTCGTCTTCGTTTACTCACTCTATTGGGTTTTGATGTTAATAATTTTTGTGTGCAATCATAGGGTTGTTTTCTTCGTTACTGCTTGGCTTTCTCGCAAAGGGTTGGCGTCTTGAGACTTGAGACTCGAGAGCGGACCTGAGACGTAATGCTGCAGTGAAGTCGCTTTGATGAGTTTGATCTAGTCATCGACCTCAATAGGCAATTTTTTTATTTTATTTTTTGTCATACCATTGGGTGTTCTGAACATGTCCTAATTGTAGAAGTTAATCCTTTTTGCACCGAATTGACTCAATTGAAGGATAAAGTGCTAGCAAATTGATTTTTTCATATGAGAGGGGATTCAAACTCCGAACTTCTCTTAATAAACAAGAGTACACGATCACTCACGTCAACCAAGTTGGTTTAAATCAATCGTTATATCGTGGACCCTGATCCTATACGACGTCGTTTTGAACTTTAATTTTAATGGAGACCTTTTGTTTTTCAGTTTGCGTTACAGAGTTTTTTTTTTTAATACTGTAAAGCATGTTTCTGTGCATTGTGTTATGTGTTTTTGTGCATTATATTACGAAATTATGTACATTAAGCCTTAAAATTCTATACATTAAATTGATTAATAGTTGTATAACACAAAACACATTGTATGTCTTATTTTATAAATTTATGTCTTATATTATGCAATTATGTGCCTATATGACATTAATTATTTACATAAATCAGATCTGAGAATAAGTAAAATAGAAAACATGTGTATGTATATCATGTTATGCGTTTCTGTATATCATGTTATGCATTTCTGTACATTCAGCGTAAGCAAGGGCGGAGCCAGGATTTGTTGGTGCGGGGGGCCGAGTTCGCCGCCACTGCTCATAGTCAGTAGTCCAAGTTCACCGCGGTTGCCGTCGTGAGTCGTCAATTGAGGAAACGAAAGAGAGGATTTAGCCCGAATTCACCGCGATTGTTGTGACTTGTGAAGATGATGAATCCATCTCCAATAAAGAATAATTCATAAAGGGAGAAGTGTCAAATAGGCCCATGTACTATTGTCAAGTGCTCAATTCCCACCATGAACTAAATTAAATGCTAATTAACCACACTTACCTATTAAATTTGTTCAATTAGCATTTTTAGCAGGTAATTGACTTTTTTTTATAGGTTACCAATTTAATTATTAAAAAATATTTTAAAAATTAAAAAAAAAATTAAAAAAAAAGTTCTTTTAATTTGAATATGAATACGTGGAAGAAGATCTGATGTCGGGAAAGAAGAGTTCTTTGCTGTTGCTGTGCAACCCAGTTTACAAAAAGATTCCGGTTCTGGTGCACAACGGGAATCCGGTGGCGGAGTCGCTGGTGATTCTTGAGTATATTGATGATACATGGAAGCAGAACCCTCTCCTCCCGGAGGATCCCTACGAGAGAGCGCAGCTCCGGTTCTGGGCAAAATTTGCCGATGAGAAGGTACGTTATTATTATCAACCATTTTTTCCGATCATCAAGCCGGAATATAATTCGCAATCACTACTGAAGTTAGTGTTTGTTGTTTTCAGTGTATCCCGGCGGTGATGAAAACGTTTTCCTCGGAAGGAGAAGAGCAGGAGAAGAACGCGAAAGAAGCTCGCGAGTATCTGAAAATCCTCGACGGCGCCGTCGACGACAGGAAGCGCAGTCAGCAGATCGATCTGGACCTCAAACATGAGGTTCAGATCTGGACCTCATATTAGACAGCCGTGGCTGTCCTCGCCGGACAGCCACGACTCTCTTTGAAATGGCAGCCACCGGCTGTCCGGCGAGGACAGCTGGTGGTTGTATTCTTTTTTTTTTTTTTTTAAAATAATTTTTAAATAATTTTGAAATTAATTTTTTAATAATTGAATTGGTAACCTGCAAAAAAAAGTCAATTACCAGCTAAAAATGCTAATTGAACAAATTTAGTAGGTAAGTGTGGTTAATTAGCCTTTAATTTAGTTCATGGTGGGAATTGAGCACTTGGCAATAGTACATGGGCTTATTTGACACTTCTCCCATTCATAAAAATAAAAATAAAAAAATTCAAGGATTTAAAGAATTAAAAAAAATAAAAAATTACCTTTTATACTTGTAAGTAGAAAATTGAAGAGAATCTGTTGTCTGGAATGTCTGCCGTGTTTGCGTATTACGTTTGCGTTTTTGGTTTGCAGATTAGGAATTTGGATGATTTGTGTATTATACTTACTTTGAAAGCTTTCTTTTAGGGGAAAAATATTTGGTGATGGACTGATGGGGATCGATGCAATAACTATTAAGCCTATTAGCATATTATAATACTAATAAAAAAAATTTGGAGTGGAGCCAAGCCCCAATGCCCATGATGTGTAGCCTGTGATGCTCTATACTAACACCTCCCCCTCCCCCCCAAAAAAAAAAAATAAATAAATAAAAATCTTTTTGTGGGGGGCCAAGGCCCCCTCCTACTAAAAGGTGGCTCCGCCACTGAGCGTAAGGATTCTGTGCATAGAATAAATTAAATTTTTGTGTTGAAACATGAGAAACGGAAAGTTACAGAATATGCTAAAACTTACACATCAAACGACGTCGTTTTGATTCAGGGTTCACAATGCTATGTGGACCCTAGTCCACGATATAAATTGCTGGTTTTAATAGGCATATATTTTGAAGAATTTTTTGTATGTGTGACCCAGGAAAGAGAAAATGAGAGGGAAGTGAAAATGAAGAAAAAAAAAAAACATACAAAAAAAATTGAAAAAAAAAAACAATCAAATTAACGTGTGTTCGGCTGGACGCTTGTTGTGACTTTCATGCGACCCGGGCTGACATTTTATTTTTTTTGATGGTCCTACTAGAGTTTATGGAGACAAAAATCAAGTTCTTGCAGTATGACCTCAATCCTTCTCTCTCTTCATTTTTTTCTCTTCCACTTCAACCATAATTTCTTTAAAAACCACTACTCTAAACATCACTTTTGGTCTCTAAAATTTACACTATACTATACTTCACTCAATATTTGGAATATTTATTTTCTCACACTTTCAGGGCAAATTATGTTGTGCAACCATGTGCACCATGCGTGGTGCACACAGTTGTAAAACGGCGTCGTTTTGATTAAAAACGACGCCTTCCAACTTAAAAAAAAAAAATTATTTTCGATTGCCATTAACGGCGTTATGCTATGCATAATTTGAATTATATATCCAGAATTAATGAACTATATATCCAGAATTAGTGAACTATATATCCACACTTACTGGTATTCTGTTTTGACTTATGGCAATTCGCTGCTTCTGTGTATTCAAAATGAATAAACTATATATTCAGAATTAATGAACTATAAATTCAGAATTAGTGAACTATATATCCAGAATTAATGAACTATATATCCAGAATTAGTGAACTATATATCCAGAATTAGTTAACTATATATCCAGAATTAGTTAACTATATATTCACATCGGTTACTGGTACTCTGTTTTGACTTATGGCAGTTCACTGCGTTTGTGTATTCAGAATTAATGAACTATATATTCAGATTGGTGGAGTTTAAAAAAAAATGATTGGTGGAGTTAAACGGTGCTACTAACGGCACCGTTACTCCACCATAGTGAAATAGCGTCGTTCGCAACCGTGTGCACCATGCAGCATAACGATTGCACTTTCAGTTAGGGGTGGAAATAGGCCGGGCCGAGCTAGGCTTTTGAAAATTAGGCCTGGGCCTACTATAGGAATTTAATGCATGAGCCTATAGGCTTTTTTTTTTTTTAGGCTCAAGCCTGAGCCTACCATTAGCATGGCCTAGCTTGAAGCCTATTTAAAGGCTCATGCCTGAGCCTACCATTAGTCTGGCCTGACCTGAAACCTGTTTAAAAGCCTGGAAAAAAAAGCATATCTATCACAATAATTTGAACATATACTTTGGGTTAGGTACTTCAAAACTTAACATGATAATTAATCATCTTTATGGAAATACAGATTTCACACTTGAATTAGTTTTATTTGCTTCTTTATTGACTATGTTCCTAACCTGGAAGTAGAAAGGAATTAAAGGATCATGCATATTAAAATATAAATAGAGTTTGAAGACTATCCCGTGTCTATGTGTACATTATTAAATAAAACACTTAAAGCACTCAATATATAAAGCCTCATAAATTTTTAAATAGAAGAAGTCAGGAAAAACAATTTTTTTTTACTTGTGAGAATGAAAATATTGAATAGCCAAATAACGGAATAGGAAATAATTTTGGAGGTTAGGATTTTCTAATTCACATATATACTTAGGTTATATATATATATATATATATATATATATATATATATATATATACATACTATAAATAGGTCAGGTCTGTAAGGTTGTAGGCTAGGCTTTATAGATATAGGCATGGGCTTATTTAATAAATAGGCTTTAAAACGGGCTTAAGCCTGGTCTATTTACTAAATAGGTCAGGGCCTACGGCCCCTACAAAGAGGTATAGCCTATTTTCATCCCTACTTTCAATTTCTCATTGCAATAGAAAAATAATACGGAAGCCTAAGACATAATTCAACTGGTTAACTAATTTAAAATAAAGTTCATTAATTTTGTTTTGTTTTTTTTTTTTTTTTTTTTTGGCTTTGTTGTGGGCACAACACAAACACAATAAAACTAAACACATACATGAGTCGTTAAGATTAACGAGTTAGAATTCTTGTTGGGCGTCGGTCGGGTTGGTCGAGTTCAGCCCACTCGATTCAAAATGTAACACTATGGCTTACCGCAAGTAGGATATGACAACCAGATAGCCAAAAAACTCTTTGGTTAAGCGTGCTTGACTTACAATAGTCACATGATGGGTCTGAGATACATCAATTATGAACACGAACATGATTTTTAAATTGGTTGATATAATGGACAAGTTTAGTTAACATGGAGCATTATTGGGTGGACCCGTAGGCCCCTACAAAGGAGACTGGCCTATTTCCACCCCTACTTTTAATTTCTCATTGCAATAGAAAATAATACGGTGGCCTAAGACATAATTCAACTGGTTAACTAATTTAAAATAAAGTTCATTAATTTTGTTTTTTTGGCTTTGTTGTGGGCACAACACAAGCACAATAAAACTAAACACATACATGAGTCGTTAAGATTAACGAGTTAGAATTCTTGTTGGGCGTCGGTCGGGTTGGTCGAGTTCAGCCCTTACTCGATTCAAAATGTAACACTATGGCTTACCGCAAGTAGGATATGACAACCAGATAGCCAAAAAACTCTTTGGTTAAGTGTGCTTAACTAACAACAGTCGCATGATGGGTCTGAGATACATCAATTATGAACACGAACATGATTTTTAAATTGGTTGATATAATGGACAAGTTTAGTTGGCATGGAGCATTATTGGGTGGACCATGGTCCAATAAACACACAATTATGTGGACTATAAATAAAAGGTACATTATTTGTGTACATAAAGTACATTATTTAAAAGTACATTATTTGAATATTGAAAGTACATTATTTTATTTTATTTTTATATACTATTAAATGATGTATATTCAGTACACAAAGAATGTACTTTTAGTATATTAACAGCATGTTAGGTTCACGGAATGAATTTGGAGGGGTTAGGAATACTATTCCACTGGGAATGTAATAGGTAAGGAATATAATAGAAATTGCATTCTATTGTTTGGTTCGTTGAAGGAATAGGCTTTAGTAATTGTATTCCAGTGTTTGATTGGTTAAAAGAATAGAAATAGAATATGTTTTAAAGAAATTGTGTGTGTGTGAATTGTAATTCTATAGCTGCTAACAGTTTTGTTTTCATCTTTGTCTCCACATGTGTGTTCATGGTTGTATGTTTTAACTAGCCGGGGCATGCACGTTACGCGTTGTGCAATGATTATAATTGATGCCCAATAGTGATACAATTTAATTGTTTTAGATTACAAAGACATAAGATTTGGTGTGTGTTTTGGTTTGATTTGCAATGCGCAGTACAAATTTATACGCAGTATATTTAACTGTAATTTAATGCGAAATAGGTTAGGTTTGTATTTGTACGCGTTTGAACAGTTGTTTATTGTAGGGAGGTCTATGCTGTCCATTTTGGCTTTTGTAAAGGGTAAAAAGGTCATTTAATATGTCTTACTCAATACTGAGTATATATTTGGGTTGGCATAGCAATTATGAAAGGTAATAAATACGAAGTATATATTTGGGTAATGCAGCTCATAGTATGATCTCCAAATACATCACATATAAGTCTGGTACCATTGCATAACCCTTCACCTGGATTGAGAACAAGATCATTGGACAGTTTTTTTTCAAGTTTAAAATATGAGGAGGTAATCCAGCAGGAGACAATGTATGTAAATAGTCTTGACAATGCATATACTTTGTTTCAAGCGGTTCGTCATAGCTAATGTAACATTTTGTTTCACCTGGGAATTTTTCTAGCAACAGGCGTATTGACCTCATCAACAAATTCATTTTTTGGCGTCAAAATTGCCCGGCCCATTAACAGGAACGGGTCAGACAAAAAACAGTGTACATCCGGGTAAACAGCCTGACAAAGTTGGTCCAGCATAGAAGCGGACCCAGTCTTTTTGGACCAGAAACTCTGGGGGAATTGAAATTTTGTTCTGTTGAACGGTCGGCTCTGTTCCATTGCCAACCCTCATCAAGTACTATGCAAACGTAGGGTCTGATTGTGCACGCATATTCTCTACCAAGGTCAATCGAGAA